CTTGAAATTTTTCCCTATATCCACGCGGAAGACTTGGGAAAACCGGATCAACTCAGTTAGTTTTATCGGCTACTAACTGTGTAGAAATGTGTCTGAAAACACTTCTCCAAAGCTCATGAAGCGTAAGGCATGATATCTCATTAATCTCAATAAACGATGATAATCAGTGTGTTGAGCTAAACGCAGAAGAGCACATGTTCCGATTATTTCAAGCTCAACATTTCTCTTTTTTTTCAGTGTTTTGAAAAATTTCAGTAGTATTGGTTATGTAACGAATATTTGAAAGCGAAAACGATTCAATGTAACCAATTAAGATGCATAGACTTAAGTCTACCATCTAGTGTCAAAGAAATGCAACCGATGTGTAGAATTGTCTTGAATACCATTTTCACTGCTTTCCCTTTTTTCTAGGAAGTTGAGAAAATTTTATAGCTCGTGGCCATTACAAGGCCAAACTGTGCATTCTGTGCATTGTAAGCGGATTCCGCAACAGGCCCAAATCAGATTTGTCGCGGAATGCGCAACAAAGCTACATTTCTTTGATCTTCTTTGCTGTTTAGGATTCCACAAACAAATACCTAAAACACTGCACCGTTGAAAATTGCTCCAAAAATAGGCGAATTTGCGGAATCCACAACCGCATTTGCGGAATCCACAACCGCATTTGCGGAATCCAGCACAGCTTGTGGAATCCACAAACAAATAACGAGACATGTATTAAGTTGAATTGAGCTGTTGCGGAATCCACAACTGTAAGTTAAATCCGCAAATTGTAAGTGGAATCCGCAAACTGTGAGTGGAATCCGCGTTTTTTTTTGCAGATTCCGTTTACATATATGTATGTGTGGTAGATTTAAAACTATATCTCTTAATTAATATGTTTATCAGCTAAAAGTTGGAATGCCAAATATTTGATCTCAATTCTTATCAAACACCCAACTTCGATCTCAAATCCTGTCCAACATACCCGATTTCGATCTCAATTGCTGACAAACATACCTAAATTCGATCTCATCCCAATTCCTGTCAAACATACCCAGCTTCAATCTCACTTCCTACAAAGGTTAACTTCGATCTCAATTCCTGTCATCAGTCTCACTTCCTGTAAACTTATTCATCAGTTCATTTCAAGCCATTCAATTAAAAAAAGTTTTAATTTAGCCACTTTGAAATATTTTCAAAATGCGAAACCAGAACATAGTTTGATAAGGCAACATTTTCAGTACTATATATTCGTGTATGAACTTAAAATTTAATTATGCTGTAATTCAAGTTTTGGTGATTTTATCTAGTACTAATTTACTCAAATTAGTTAAATAGATCATTTACTCCCTGTGAACAAAATGATTTGAATTCACGCTCCCAAATACTGAATCTCAAATACAAAATCCCAAATACTGAATCTCAATTACTGAATCCCAAAGACTGATCTAATTCGGCCATATGTCTACCCAATAATGAATTAACCCAATTACCGAATTAACCCAATGAATTTATTCGGTGTTGTGTTTACAAAACTATGATCCCAAAAACTGCTTGCAAATACTGAAGTGTGACATCCATCGATTTAGTTAACCAATGTTTTAAGGTTTGGTCGTGGATTCCACTGACAATGGTTAAGTCCTTGCTTTTAAATTCCGCAAGTGCATATGCAAATTCAGTGATAAACAAATTTCTGAATTCCTCTACAGTTTGCGGATTCCGCTTACAAATTTTGCGGATTTCACTTACAGTTGCGGAATCCAGAACAACTAGCTATATTTGCTTGTTGCGGAATCCCCAGCAAATTAAATGTGCCCACAAAATTTACGTTACAAGTATATGTACGCGGAATCCACGTAAATCTTGTAAGTGGAATCCACTTACAGTTTGGAACGTGTTTAAATACTTGTTTTTGGAATCCAGGAACATACAGACACAAAATTGTGTGCCTATCCAACAGTTTGGCCTCGTAATGCCTTCGTCGTGTTCATTTTCATTTTTATATAACATATTGCGGTAATGGGATTAGTGTCCTAGGAAGAATTTGGTTGCGCACAAAATTTAAAAGCTAAAAATTTCTAAATAATAATTGGATTTCATTTTTTCAGCTTGTCGTTGAAAGTGCATGAACGATAAACTCAGGAAAAGAAATGGAATCAGAAATAAGAATAAATAAAGTATTGGATCAAAAATGCGCCAGGAACGTGATTTAACCAATCGAGCTATCTTGTCCTTCATGCGTTCACGGAATTCCAAAGGACATCAGCAAAAGGCTGCCACAGGATTTCAATCTTAAAGGCAATATCTGGGACAAATTGGGGCCAATCAAAGAAGACCTTATTTGTCACCTACCGCGCCGTAATTATACCAGTTTAAGGTTACGCTTGCCCAGCATAATCCTATGCAGCCATTTGTACGTCTTTGAAAATTTTCTTTTTGTTAAAAAGACTATTCACCGCGCAATTACGGGTAGCACAAAAAACAGAGCTCAAGAACTTGTAATTTTTTGTAACGGTTGCCAACAACCAGCAACTACCCTCTTCTCAGTTTACTCTCAAATTTTTTTTTTGAAGATCCCTGCTTGTATTTGATCCTCAACCCAGACCTTCCCCGAAAATCAACCCGACATTTTTTAATATTTAGGTGCTAAATTTGAATTTATCTTCTTTGACAGAGGAGACGCATCTTCTGACTCTCTTAATAAATTTGACAAACTAAGTTTTTTCACCTCTCAAATTTTCATTTTTTAAAACTACTGCAAACTAAAAGAGACGTGCAGGCATCTGCTGACACACATCGACGAAATTAATTCTCATCAAACCAACTGATATCTCCGCCTTTGAAGAATGCCTCCCGCGAGGCACCAGAAGAACTCTTTCCCTAATTAAGGTCCAGTTCTAGTCCCTTTCTAAACACGTACCTAAATAGTATAGAGTCAAACTTCGCTCCTAGCGGCTATTCTTTTAGTTCCGCGGTCCGCAATTTAAACCTTTTTTTTTGCTCTAAGGACATCACTACTTAAACACCAATAGACTTGTGGCTCTGATCGACTGAAGTTGCAAAGTTTCCAGGACTTCGTTTAAGCATGCTGGATGCCCCCTTTGGGTTTAGATGAACAGCTAAAAAAATTTTAGACACGGCGTTTAGTAAAAAGAAACAATTCACAGAATACTACCAAGTTTTAGGGTAAAGGAATGTAAGAGTATGCTGCTACTAAAAAAAGGACAGTGCTATGCAAGCAAAGTTCAGCTTCTATCTCATTTTCCTATTCAGAATTTTTTTATTAGTCATTGTAGGGGTCCTTCAGTAAAAGGGAAAGCGAGATTTATTTTTTCAATAAAGATGCAGTGTTTACTTTTCATTATTTAATTGAATTGAACTGAGAAACAATTTTGGTATCAATTAGTTCAAATTCTTGTCTTTTTTATGGTCGTTCCAAAAAAGTTGTCACATAGCTCGGAGCACTCATTGTACTCATATCATATACACCGACAAGTAAAGTTATGCAGTCGTATGAGTATGTTCCTAGGAAGAGCTGCGTAACTCACGCACACAACACACACACAAAAACTTACTTCTTTTATTTTACGTATAAATTTGAAAAATAAATACAAAAGCCCAGGAAGCATCTTTTTATATATATGTATATGTGTTTACTTATAGATGCGTTCTAAGAAGTGAATACTCCCTAAAAACTTCTTTATGAGGAATGGTCAATATTAAAAGAAGCGATAAAATATCAAATGTTTTATGGGCACGGATCAAGGATTTTCTCGAGGGGTGGATTTTTCCGGCCATTGATTTTTGGTAAACTAAATTGATTATTCGACCCTTTGAACCAATACATAAGATTTTTGGCCTAAAAATCTAATTATAGAGAAAAAAGTCAAAAATGTCAGGACTGTTTGACCACAAATGGTTTTAAAAAAGTATTAAAGGGACCGCATAGGAAAAATTGCCAAAATGCTGAGTTTTTAACATGGCATTAGCCATACCCTGGGGCGGATATAAGATTTTCTCGAGGGTGGGGCAGATTTGCAAAATTTTTCGACAATTTTTTCGACCTTTTTTAGGATCGACCAATTTGATTTGTCGATCACTCCCAAGCACTAAAAAGTCCCTGTTTTGGCCAAATTTTCTGTCCGCAGGCAAAATTTTGAAATAACATGCCAAAAAGGAGTTGGCGTCAAAGGCGAGTTGGCGTCAAATTATTATATGTTGGCGTCAAAGGCGCCTTCAAAAAAATTTTAGGTTCCGTCACCAAAAATGGATATCACAAAATAGTACAAAGGAGGACCCTTTGGGTCGGCAGGGGGCGGAATCCCTGAGAGAGAGAGGGGCGACCACCCTTCCCCCTTATATCCACCCCCGGCCATACCCCCCCCCGGCAACCCCTTCTCCTTGGATTACCCATTTGCTTGCTCTAAAAATGACTCGAAATGCTTGAAAAGCTTTCCAATGATCTTTCATTTTCCCCTCCCCCTGAATCCGCTACTGGATTGAAGTGTAATTTAAGAGAAAATTGTTTGATTGTAAAAGATTTTCTTCCATTTTATAGTATTTTTTGAAGTTGTGCAAAAGATATTAAAAAAACTTCGTTACTTAATGGAAACAATGTATACCTAAATTTCTCCTGTCTTTAGCTCTTTGGACTACAGTGCTGTTTTAAATTATCCAGGCAAAACGCATTAATCTTGAAAATTGAAGCGCATTTTCACATATTGGTTTGAGCTTAGATTTAAAACTTTGTAGACAAAGCTTCAAATTTCTTTTGAACTAATACGTTGCAAATTGTTTTTACAAAATTTGGTCCCAAAATTTTAACGCAAAATGGATCACTTTCGGATTTTGTTGTTAAGAAAAAAATACGCTAAAATTACTTTTCATCACTCAATCACTGATGTAACTATATCAAAGTGAGCCTCTTACCTTGCCCAATAATCTGTAGGGAGGCTATGCACTCCAGAACTTTCTATAAATTAATTTACTTTTGTTTGATAGAAATAAAGTGTCTTTTTTAGTTTATTAAGTTCAAATTTTTATAGAAAAAGTTTTTAAACGCTTCGCTTTGCGCAAGTTTTTAGGGTTTGTTGGGCTACCTGAGAGGCTCGTTTTCATGCGATTATGTCAGTAATTGAGCAAAAAATTTTGATTGCACCGTAAAACAAATTGCACCGTATCAATTCTGCTAAAGTTCTAAATAAGTTTTGTCTTCATAGCTTTTGACCTAAACTCAACTCAATTTCGAATAAAGGAGTTTTTTTCAATTTTAATGCATTTTGTACGGATAATTTAAATCAGCACTGTACTGTTTGCTCTAATAACAGTCGGTGATATTTGTTCAGAAAAACAAGTTATCCTAATTAACTTCATGGCTCCTTTTTCATTTCAGTTTCTTTGTCTCTGCTCTTAGGATTGTCGCTTTCCCTCCTCGGAAACACTTCCACTTCTAACTCGGTTGGTCTCTTGTACTTGGTCCGAATGTATCTCGCTTTCTGTGCCTCCTGCCACGCAGAGTCCTTCCATGCTTTCATCAAATCCCTCATTCGCCTCTCCTTTCGCTTGTGATCTACAAAAAGACAGTTTTTACTTTTTCCGAACAGGCCGCCTTTTTAAAACTGTGTGGGGTAAATTATTTGAAAGAAGGATTCGCTCAACTTTTCCTTTGCGTTTGCGCTAGGCAAGCAATAATTTTTCCGGCATTATTAAAATGAAATAGAACGGAGTTTTTTAAGCTTTCTCTCGTGTCGAACATATGAATTCAACGGCTTTTAATAGTCTTTTTGATTATGAACGAAAGCGTTATGGTGTTTATTTTACTAGCAGATTTTTTCAAAACTCATTCAACGCCTTATTTGTAATTGTTTCTACCGAGCCAGATTTTTGTTTCTAGTTGGCTCAGCAAAATTAACAAGATAGGAGTGAGTTTTAGTGTTTTAAATAATCCTCAGTCTGCCGTGCTTTGTACTCTTGGATTTGTTCGGCCAGCCATTTTTGCTTCTCGTAGATACGCGAACCTGAAAATGTTGCGACCACGTGAAAAAAGCAATGGTCGACTATATAAAAACAAGAGTAATCGGGTGCTGTGCAAGTAGCAGAGAACGTTCCTTTCACGGAAATCAATTGAAAAAACTTAACAAAAAACAACACTCAGATTTTTCTGAAACACTCATTGCTACTTCAGCACGCTTTACTATGTATCAGTACCCTACACAAGTTTTAAAACTACATTGATTGGGATTGATTTAAGTGGCTTTATAAAGCATCGCTCACTCACCTCCCTCTACGGGAATGCTCGGAACCAGTAGAGGATTTAGAGGGGGGCAGGGGGCGCGGACGCCCCCCTCCAGGGATTCGACCCCTGCCGACCCAAAGGGTCCCCCCTTTGTACTATTTTGAGATATCCACTTTTGGCTGATTGATCTTAAAATTTTTCTAAAAGCGCCTTTTGGAACCTGATCTAAACTACATTTTATAATTGGATAAATTAGATATTTTACCACTGTAAAATATTTAATATTAACCAATCATATTCCATCTAACTAACAACCCACTTATTTGTAAGTGCTGAAATTACTTGTAATTTCAGCACCAGAGAGATTTGAATATAACTTAGAAATTAGTTGCCTCTCCAAGAGAACTTCAGCTGCCGCAGTAAACCAGTATACTCTAGATCTATTGAGCCTAGCAGAGGCTAGTTAAACACCCTGAGACTAGTAGATATAAGAGTAAGATTAGGATCGGTATTAGACTAAGAAGTTGCACGAATCTATCCGGCCGAAAATAAGACAGCGTGACGAGCAGACGGTGTACCCTATCCGAAATTACTCTATAACTTAGAGATCCATCTTAACTCATCTGGTGCGACCATAAGTCTCGAATAAGACCTTAATAGCTTAGAACTAACCAAAAATAGATTAGAAATTAGACAAAACATTTTCAAAATGTTACACGATAGTAACTTAATTGAAATGTCTCTACGACTCAATAGATCAGAGCCGATATTCCGCACAATACTAGAACTACCTGGTATTGGAAAAAGACCTCGGACAAGAGACGATATACGACTACATAGAAACTTACCAATTAGTTTCATGGTTGTAAGGCAAAAGCCAACACAAACTTTTATATTTAGAATCTTATTAGCAATGAATTTAGATTTTCATTTACAAACATAATATTTTGAAGTAAATCTTCATGATCATTTCAGGCGCTAAACAACATTATTAAAATACAATAACGATTGATAAAAAGATCTCAGATCGTTTTCTCAATTTCTGCAGTATTATATAAAACATATTTGAAAAATATTTATTGAAAATAAAAATAAAAATTAGTAACATGACAATAAATTGTTAGTAATCATAAATCATCCTGTTGTTCCAGCTCCATCACCTAAACAGCAATCATAAGCTCACTAATATCATTGAAAAACTAACTCTTTTTTAAAATAAATTTAAACCATTTTAAACTTAAATTTACTTAATTTTAAACCAGATCATCAAGGCTTATCCTTGGATCTTTATAAATTTTCTATCTCACTAAATTTAAAATCCGATCATCAAGGCCTATCCTTGGATTAAAAAGAACAATTTTGTTCTCCCCCACCCACTTAGCAAGTGTCTAACGACCTCAAACGTCGATTCACTATCCAACCTTTCCAAAAGACCCAGGACTAAAAGAAATTTTAAAAAAAAACTAACCATTCAAATTAAGTTAAACAGTGAAGAACTTCGGTTATTCATCCTTCACTTGAACCCTCCTCTTAACAGACCCAGGATAGATCTTAGTCTTAGTAAGTTTAAAATAGTTTCTAACGAACTACTTGCGTTCTAATTATACCTGAACCTTGTGGATCGATTGACTATTCTCCAACCCTTGAACACAATCACTACCCCTAAGTAAGATTAAGTAAGTTAACACCTTAACTTAGACTAGCCACGAGAAAGTAAAAAATCATTCTTCGGAATTGATATACTTTTCTCTTCAACCCTGAACAAAAGACCCAGGTTAAGCTAACCAAAAAATCGTAAGAGCTAACAGTCTAGGAAAATAAAAATCACTAATAACTTCTTGCATCCCTCATCTTAAACCTTATGTCATTCAAAACTTTAGGAAATAAACAAACAATCATTTTACACAATTGTGAAATAAATAACCAAAAATACGATCTTGTAATCACTCCACATACACAAACAGTTGGATACATTCGAACAAAACGACAAACAATAAAAAAAGGAAAATTGGAAACAAACAAAGACAAATCACACGAAAAAGATTTTCAAAAAATAGAAAAGCACTTTCTGAATCAGAAGTCAATAGTTCGGATGAACTATACAAATGAAAAGAATCAAAAGATAAAAACTGTCCCATCCATGATCAATTATTTTTTTCCGACTCAGAAACAACTTCAAATTCATCAAAAAGAGGAAAAAGAAATATAAAAAAGCAATATAAACACAAACCAGTACACCTGTATAATTGGAATCAACAAATTAGACACATTGATAGTTATATATTAACAGTCATTAAACGAAAAAAATGAGCCACACTCAAAGTGACGAAAGTCCAGACGAAGAAGCAGTTTTTCCCTTTCTTATCGATTCACTCGATGATAGAGGACAAACACGGTTTTGTAAGAACTTACTCGTAAATTTGTTTGAACCAGGAATCAGTCCATGCAAAGCAGAATTTCCAGATGTAAAAATCAAAAGACAAAACATTGAACATTATTTGAAAGACATATGTAATCTAACACAGCAATACGAAATCTACACCATAGAATTCAGCTCACCAAGTACAGCCCATCGTAAATATGTAATTCAAACAGACGATATTGAATTAGAATTTTCAAAAGTATTGATAGAATATATCAAAAGCATACAATATCATAATTCACAAAGAGCAAACTCCATATTCACTAGCGAAGTTTTTGCAATAATATATAGTTATATATTTTTATTGGAAAAAACAGAAATTCAAAATATATCACCAACAGAAACATCCAAACATACAAAAGTACGAAATGAAATTACAGTATTTTCAACATTTTTACTTATAATTTGCAAAAATTTCACTAAAGAAGATGTTTCGCAAAACAGTAAACTTGATTTACAAAAGATTTTAGCATGGTTTCTAAAAGATTATTTCACCCACAATTTAGATTTAATTTCACAAGCAAGAAAAAATTTCAGACCCCAAAATACCAATGACGACACTGTCCTTTCAGAACAATCAGATTACGTTTGGGACCCTGACTGGTCTCATCCAGCATTTCTAAATATTCCACAAGATATCTCGAGTCAAGCAATAAGTACAATATCTTTCCACAGAGATTATGTAAGAGTAATACCATTAACGATTGACGCAACACCACTAAATTATAATACATTTTTACCTGATACACGAAACAACAGCTTAAAATCAACAGTTATACATAATGAAAATCTCAATGGAACAAGAAATCTTACACAGCAAGATATTCAAACACCATCACACTTCATATATGAAGAAATCGTCCAAACAACAGCAACAACTACACAACAAAGTATTTCACCAATACATCCCAATCTGACAACACCAAGAAATACAAATACATTACTAACACAAGTAACATTACAATCAACCGTTCAACCTTTGGTTGCTCCAAAATATTCACATATGGACTATTCAACTTATAGACCAATGACAATACCGTCAAAAACACAAAAACCGTTCACAAGAAACACTTTTGCAGAACACAATTATAATTATGCTCATCAACCAAAAACAAATCAACCTCCCCGAAAAAAAACACAAAATTTAAATCACGTATGTTCACATTATTGGAATCTCCCAAAAACATCAACCACTTCAGTAAACTTTCCAGATAATCCACAACCTACACAGGATCACAGTGAAAATTACCCATTTTTTCAACAGAATAAAAATAAACAACATACACCATATAATACAATTTATTTATCATCTGAGGAAGATGATTATCACCAACCAGATATTTTTGCACCATATACTAAAGAATATCGCACACAGGGACCGCGACAATCTCAACCATCTCAAAATATGAAAATTTACCCACAAAACCCAACAGATATACAAAACCCACAACAAATGCATATACAAAACCCATTTAATACACAGCCTTTTCAACCAATATAACCACAAAACCCAATGTTAATGCATTCTTATCAACCAACTCAAATGCAAAATAAAATACCGCTTCCATATTACCTTCAGCAACATGAAATAACAAAAAATCAACTTTTAAAAATCAACTTTCAAATTATTTCTACTATAACAGATTTTTGTTTCTAGTTGGCTCAGCAAAACTAACAAGATAAGAGTGAGCCTTAGTGTTCTAATTAACTGTCACCCCCCCCCACCCCTGTCTACAACTTCGCAACTTTAATCTGCTTTAAAACTCGAAAAGATGGTGAAACAGAGAGTGAGCCGTGCCTTCGAATGCGACTGTGACACTGTTCTGGAACAGGGAACTCCCTTTGCGCTGACTGCTACGACGAAGTCCTCCACCCCGAGCCCTGGTATCTCCCGAATCGGCTCTGGCCGTGTTGAGGAAGGAACTGCGTCGACTGTTTCCTCTGCTATTTGCACGAGTGCTACGGACCTAGTAGACAAAATAACACTTGGAACATCCATTGAAGCTCTACATTTTTCTTCTCTCAGAAGCATGCGTCAGTTTTATAATACTTATGCACCAACTGCAGGAGTGGATTTAGGGAGGGGGTATCGGAAGTTTTCACATATCCGACGTTTCAATCACGCTCCCCCTGGGGTAATAATTAACGACATCAAACTTCGATCGACCAGCATTGATCTTTTTGCGTAATCATTTTGATGACCAGCATAATCATTTTAGGGGAGAAGCGAGCCCTGGCTTCTAACTGACTTTTCTTCAGTGTGCTTCATCACCTCTTATCTCAAAACTTTTAGCTCAACTTCTATTATGGATATTAGCGATTCTTACATCCACATCACTGATGTTCATGTCATGACTGTGGTCCACATTGTGTATGTACTTATTCGTGACCAACAGAGACCTCTGCATCATGGACCAGAGAGAAGTGCCCTCAGCTCCCCCTCTCCCGTCCCCGTTCAGTCTCAGTTGTCTCCTCTCTTTTCGAAGTGCCTCTTCTTTATCTTTCTTCTTTTTCTCGTCCTCAGTCTGCCGTGCCTCGTACTCTTGGATTTGTTCTGCCAGCCATTTTTGCTTCTCGTAGATACGCGAACCTGAAAATGTCGCGACCACGTGAAAAAAGCAATGGTCGACTATATGAAAACAAGAGTAATCGGGTGCTATGCAAGTAGCAGAGAACGTTCCTTTCACAGAAATCAATTGAAAAAACTTAACAAAAAACAACACTCTCATTGCTTAACACTCATTGCTACCTCAGTACGCATTACTATGTATCAGTACCCTGCACACGTTTCAAAACTACATTGATTGGGATTGATTTAAGTGGCTTTATAAGGCATCGCTCACTCACCTCCCTCTACGGGAATGCTCGGAACCAGTAGAGGATTTAGAGGGGGGCAGGGGGCGCGGACGTCCCCCTCCAGGGATTGGACCCCCTGCCGACCCAAAGGGTCCCCCTTTGTACTATTTTTGAGAGATATCCATTTTTGGCTGATTGATCCTAAACTTTTTCTAAAAGCGCCTTTGGCGCCAATCTATACTAATTTTGATGGGGGAGCGAGCGCCGAAAAAACGCAATTTTTTGGTCGAAATTTGCCAAAAAGTACCTAAACACGCCTTTTTTTGGCCTTATTTCAAATTAGGGTCCTTATAGTAGTTAGGGAGAGCTCAGAAAATCAATTTGTTTGACCTAAAAAAAAGGTCGACAAAATTTTTTTTTGAAAACCCGCCCCCCCCCCCCCCCCTCGAGAAAGTCCTAGATACGCGCCTGCTCGGAACATCAAAAAAAGTAAGGGATTATGATATCTTATCTCCAATTTGTTCATAGGTCAAATCAATTCATTGGACTGATTATCCAAAAACATTTGATTGTGATTAACTAGCCTGGACCGCATGTAGGGGGCCTCCCATCGTCTTCTCGTCTTGTCATCTGTGAGCTCATCATTCTCCCAGAAGCCGCACTCTGGATCCGTCTCCATGCAGCCCCGTCCGGAGAAATATCATAGGCCAGATCTCTCAAGGTCCTCTCTAGTTTGGACTTGTTGTTTCCTCCCAGTATGGACGAAGGGGGGTTGCGCCACTTGCGCACATAGGATTGAAGATCCTTGTATATTGCACTGCACTCTTCGCTCATCAGAGGAGCTACAATGAATTCAACTAAATTGTTCAACTTCATGCTGCTTCAGACAATAAGCTTAGTTCTCAATAAGGAAAAAGACCGAATCGAAGTTTATGGGTTCCTCTAGTATTTCTTGCAAGGTTTCTTCGAATCATAACTAGTCGCCGTAGTATTTCCTTTTTTAGAGCTCTCGAAAGTCCCAAAAAACCGTATCTGAGTATAAAAAATTAGACAGTTTCCACAAAATCCTAACAAGGTTTTGACCCAAAAGTTGAGTAGTTTTTCCTAACTCTGTTTGCCCTCATTTGCTAAAAAACGGTGCCAAAGGTCTCTTTTTAGATTTTTTGAATTCGTATTTAAAAAAATTGAATACAAACATTACGAGGCCAAACTGTGCACTGGATAGGAGCACAATTTTGTGTCTGTATGTTCCTGGATTCCAGAGACAAGTCTTTAAACATGTTAAAATTTTGTCGGAACGATCAAAGGAAAGTAAAGAACAAAAGAAGAACAAAGGGAGTGTCCTTGTTGCGGAATCAGCTTACAATGCACAAAATGCACAGTTTGGCCTCGTAATGAAACTGCAGGCTGTTCGTGTTCTTACTTTTGGGTATCTGTAGTGAAACGGCAGAATGTCGTCTGGAGGACCTGGCTCTGGGGGCCATAATAGTAGATTTCCGGCCACTTCGAGTAGAGGCTGCAAACTCCGACAGGAAGTCTTCCTCTGTCATCCGGAACTCATCCGGAACCTCCACCTTCTCTGGCTATCATAAAAAAGAGAGACTTTACATAGGTTTCTGTCTCTTCTCGGTTGTTTACCTCAAAATTATCAAATCCGAAGTCTGAATAGAGTCAAAGTTTTAACCGAAAAATCTATAAAAGTAATAGTATAGCTGAAAGGATACACGAAATTTTTAATTTTTTTGAAAACTCAGCTCTCGCGTTGCTTATCTCATCACCATTTTTTATCAAGAATAAACATATTCAATTATAGATGGACCTTATTTAAGGTACTAATAAGGGAAACTGTATATAATTCATATTTGACATTGAATTGTTACAACTTGCAGCTCATTTCACCTTTCGGAACTGCCTGCGCTTCTCTTCAATCATCCGTCTCGCATGATTCTCCTTTCTGTAGAAAGCACTCCTTTGTCGCTCCAGATTCCTGTCCAGAACTATGTGGCTCCTCACGATCATCCGGTCTTTGGTCTGATCTCTGAAGCCCAGTTCGAGCACCTCACACCCTGAGGCATACGACATATTGGGTAAGAATATGTCTGAACTTTTTGATCAACTTTAGATGCTTAAAAATGAAGCAGGAAGAAAAAACCGATCAGAATTTTTGTTAGAAGTTCTGGAAATACTGAATAATTAGAAAGAAAAAGTTAAGTAACTGCATTAGAATAACAAATTTAAGTAATTGGTCACAGGCTGACCAAAACTCAGTTTCGACTCAGATTTTCAATCATCTGAATTATTCTGAAGAGTAAACCAAACAGTCAGTATATAAATTGAAGCCATAAAACTGTATTAGCACCATTTCGTGAACTTTTCTGGCTTTTAATTCTGATTTTCAGACGCCAATTTAGTTATCTGTATTTAGTGATCTGTATTAGTTTGATGACTCTTTATATTTATGATAAGAAAAACACGAAGACTTTAATGACCGAAAAAGCATGCTATCGGCAAAGTTATATAGCAGTCACATTTTTCTTGGATCTTAATTTTTTTCTGGCCAGCACATTAAATACAGATTTTAAATAAGTAGATTGTTTTATTGACCTTGTTTACTTTAAATTAATCCGAATCGGTCCAATGCACTCACAATTTTCAATCAAAATCCGTACTCAAAAATAGCCCTTAATTCAAGCAGAAACCGAAATCTATTCTTTTCCACAATCGAAACATTGTCGAACCCAAATCTGAAACATAATCGAACATAAACTCAAAGCAGTCGAAACCGAAATGAAAACAGTCGAACACAATATTTTAACACATGAGCGAAGCTGAGCTTCGAACCACTTGCGATACAAAAATGAATAACAATGATTAAAATCAAATCACAAGAAAAATCTGTAACTGAAAAAACCTTCGAAAACTATTTGTGTCAAAAATTTATAAAAACGGAAAAAAAGCCCAAAAGGTCCCGAAAAAAATACTTGCACCATAAAAAATTTTACAAGGAGCTTTCGAAAATCTAGAAAAAAAACCGAATGTTCAAAAAAGTTTTCGAAAAAAAAGTCCCGACTGGAATTGAACTGCCGGGATTTGTCGTCAAGTATGGGTTTTACAGTAACTCAGAAAAAAGCTGAACCTTCAAAAAGTCGGGCTCAGGAACTCAAAAAATAAACAGACAGACCATAGTCTGAAAAAACACGTAAACTCAAAATTACTTCAAATAATAAGGTTCCTTCCGGATTCGATAGACAGCCCTTTGCCGTCTCAAGCAGAAGTGTTACCTCTACGCCAGATGCGCTGGAACGATTGCTTGAATTTGAATTTATAATAAGGAAAACATATGAAGGAGTCCAGACTCCAGGAGATGAGTCCTGAGAACAAAGATATTTACGGGAAAAAGTCTAACACCCGATTGCAATACTCTTGCTTATCGCAAGGGTAAATATATCGAATAGTCGAGCTCAAATCAACACAAGGAACAAGTCGTTCTTAAAAGTGGAAACTCGGGAAAAAAACCCCAAACATAGTGGAACAAAGTGTCGAAAAAACCATAAAAAAATAATTTGAAACTTCAATTTAAATCCAAACCATGTCAAAATCGAAGATGAAGCATCTTGAATTTTAAATTTAATAACATTGATTTGTGATGTCTCCAAATTTTTCTGCAATTTTTTCAGTTTGGCCTAAACGAGGCTCCCTTGAACTGAAAACAATCAAAAATTTGTTCTTTTTTTAACGAAACGTTCGAAAAAAGCTCTCCGATTCGACGGCAGTTAAAAACTATTTTTTTTGGTCTGGTCGTTCAAAAAAATATCAGCTTAGATAAAAAACCCGCCATAGCAATTTTTATTCAATTAAAGTTTTGAGAAGTCACCAAAAAGTCACTTTTTTGACTGGAATATAGTCCAGAACATTTTTTTCTGTCCGGCCATTCGAAATTAAGTGAGTTCGGGCCAAATTGGCGAGAACATACTAATAGTTTTTGAACAAATTAGTCAAGTAAATCAGCGCAGTTCAAACAAAAACATGAAGCTTTTGTAGTCACTAGAAAAATTGCCAGCTTGAGTCGCATAGGTACAAACGTTCCAATTTTAGAACAAGTTGATCCAACCATAGAAAATTTTTTTGTGGTCGTTCAAAAACAGCGAGTTTTTGCCAAGATGTAAAAACATAGCCATTTTAACTAACAAGATCAGAACTTAGCCGTTTCTGCTTTAGCTCTGGACCAATTAATCAACGCAGAACTAGTTTTTGCTGACTCGGTTGAAACCTAGCAAAGTGTTTGCAGTCTAGTCGGTCGAAACCTTAATTGGTGTTGTGAGACAACATCGTTTTAGGTTCTGTTTTAATCGAATTGTTCAGGTCGAAGTCAGTTTTGCGCAAGTTTTTTTTTGCTCAACTTGCCAAAAATATCTAAACTTCGATCGACTCGAACCAGTTTGGCCACATGAAACTAGTTAATCAAACTAATTTTGCGTTGATTAATTGGTCCAAACTGATGAAATAAAAAAGCATCAACTATTGAAATTTATTAAAAAGTAAATGTCAATCCGCATGGTATTATAATTCTAACGCAGCCTACTGATTCAAAAAGGCCACCAAAAATCATTTGTGACTTAAGTCGGAAAAATTTGCCTTGCACTATCACAGTACGCTCCACTCGTGTAAACAACTCACCCCAAACTCGCTACGTTTGAACTGACTAAAACAAAACTAAAAACGTATTTTGTGTCGTTGCGATTCTTTTTACCAAATAGACGAAAAAAGATATAAATCTAATAACTGCAATCAAACCGACCGCAGCAAAAAAACATCTTAGAAAGTGTTTGATTCCAGTGTGCTGTGTTTCACCAAATATATAAAAGACTCCAGCAAAAGACTCCAACTTGCTTTGGTCGATTCGGTTGGGATAAAAAAAGTTTAATCAGTTACTACAGAAGACTCCAACAAAAAACGCCAATCAAACCGACCGCAGCAACAACATCCTCGAACTGTTTAATTCGAGTGTGCTGTGTTTCGCTAATCAGACAAAATAATTCGCAGTTTTCACTCAAAAATGACAAAAAAACACCAGTCGCCATCGATGAATAATCAATGTTCCTTGCCACAACAGCAAATTTTTTCGATAAATATTCGTTTATTTGGCTAGTTTTCAGCGATGAAACAGCGATAAAAAACCTATCAAAATGAGCAAAAATAGTTACCTAACAGGTGTTCGATCCCACAAACATCAGATTTTTAGACATGTATGCTAACTCTGCGTCATCAAGCCTTAGACAAACTCAAACTAAAGAGCTTATCAACTAAAACTCTCATTTGAAAGCTACTAGAATGTGTTTAAATTTCTTAAGTAATAGCTCTGAAATATCACAAGTTTAGCAATGCAAAAAACTTTGAATTTGACATGAATCAGCGCTGGAAAATAGCAATCACTGGGATACTACAGAAAAAGCAATAATTAACAGCGAGACTTCCATCCGGGAGCGATGTGTTTCGAGTTTAAACAGAGCCAGGCTGTGTCTGGTTAAAATCAAGCCGTTTCTGTCGACTAGGTCGCAGCATACCAGGATCGATACAAGCGCAGCAGTACTTAATTTCGCTTTGGTCGGTTCGGTTGGTACAAGACAATTTTAATCATTGTTTTGTACCAACTTCAAAATATAGCATGTTTGTGTCAAACAATTGTTTTTTTTTTGCTTTAGGGGAGTCGGTCGCTCTAAATCTAGCCAAATTGGTTCGAGTCGATCGAAGTATAGATATTTTCGGCGAGTTAAGCAAAACATTGTCAGCCTGAATCGAACGCAACCAAACATAGTTTGGTTTTACTTGATTTGATTGAAACAGTCGTAAAGTTTGAAACAGTTTGAAACAATTGAGGTTGGTAAAAAAATTTTGCGTGAGTTCAGTTAAAACTATGCACGTTTCGTTTAAATGCAACTAAAAATGTTTTTACTTTGGACCAGTAGGTCAAACAACGAGTTTGTGTGGAATCGGTTGAAACATGGCACGCTGGAATGTGCCATGTTCCAAAATAGTTTATTTTTGCGTAGATATGATCGCTCGAAACTCTGTCAATTTGGTCCGATCCGGTCAAATATAGGCAATTTTGGTCTTCTCGGTCGAAAAAAAGCAAAACTCAATCAAATATAGTAAAATTATTTTCACTTTTGTCCGGTTGCCCAAGTTTTAAACAAGTTTTGATCAAATTGATGAAAGCATGGTCAATTTTGTTTGAGTTAATAACAAAATTTAATAGAACCAATTGTTAAAACAAACAATTGTTAAAAGGGGAGATTGTTAAGTAGATTACTTGCAACGAATTTTCGCCCAGTCAGAATGCAGCAAAATTTGGATTTACATACAACGCTCTTGTGCGAATTTACTAATTTTATTTACTGTGGTGATGATTCTATAGTAGATGCAATAGAAGGGGGGAGACTGTTAAGTAGATCCCGAAAAAAAAACTGAAAACAATTTTGGTTTGGACAAGTCGCTCAAAACAGAACGAGTCTCCACGGCTCGAGTCGATTGATAAATAGCACGCTTGCATCATTTGGGCACAAATATGGTCCCATATTCTTTTGTTTTTAATCGAGTCGCGCAAGATGAAGCAAATTTGGTCCAAGTCGGTCAAATATTAGACAGCTTTGGTCTAGTTTGTCCGAAAACAACAAGCTGCGGTCAAACGCAGTCGCACTTAATTTCAAAATAAAGTATCTTCCAATCAAGATGGCTCGAACTTTGGATCGACAACATTTAGTGAATTTGGATCAGTGTTAGACCAAGTAGGCTCACTAGAATGGAACCAAATTAAAACTAGTATTTATATCCAATTATATTATTGATCAAACTATCTCTGTAAAGCATTTCCAACCAACCAATCATGATTCATAACTAACACTTACTATAAATTGTATAGCTGAAACTATTCATAGTTTCAGCAACAGAACAGAATAAATATAATTCAGCAAGCAGTCGTTCTCCGTCAGAACAGTTCCTGATATCTCATCTCGCAAATACCAGTATACACTAGCTCTATTGAGACTAGGAGATATAAGAGTAAGATTAAGATTAAGATTGGTATTAGACTAAGAAGTTGCATGAATCTATCCGACCAAAAATAAGATAGCGAGACATGCAGACGGTGTACCTTATCTGAAATTACTCTATGAAAGAGCCACCCCGGACATAAATTCATCTAGTGCAACCAAGAGTCTCGAACAAGACCTCAACCTTTTAGATTTGGCAAATTCAAAATAGAAATAAGATCAAAAACTCATGACAAAATGTTTGCTAGTATTGCCAATTTAATGAGTATATCTCTACGTCTCAATAAGTCTAATCATATCAACCAAACGATACAGCTCACACCAGGTCAAA